CCTCCAGTCCCCCATGAGCCTCGTAGGTGGGTTCAGCTGTTGGCCTGCAGGGTCAGTGAGTACCGGAGGAGGGCAGCTCACCATCCTCGCCTGTCCGCTTCCAGCTCCAGGACTTTTCACCAAGGCGTCTCTCTGTCCCTGGGCTTCCCTGTGACACCCAATAAGCCCACAATAGGTTTTTGGGCAGAAGAACAGTGTTCTATCTTTTGGCAAAACTGAAGTCTCCATTCTCACTCACACCTCGGCTTGGTCCCCCATACTGTTTCATAGCTATGAGGGGTTGACACAAGCAACTGTTTTATTTTCTTTAATTGCCAAAGGGCACCCACTCTTCTCAGAGAAAGAGAGAGACAGAGACCAAGAGAGACCTTCCAGTGGGCCATGGCTGTTCCCCAGGCCTTTCTCCTCCATTTCTCTACCCCTTCAGGACTTGGGACATACACACACACGTGCAGGGTAGTTTTTCAAACTGCTGAGGCTGGGATTCAAACCATGTGGCTGGCCATGAGGAATCCAGGTCTCTTAACCAGTAGGTCACACGGCCAGCTTCAATAGGACTGTTTGGGTTTTTTTTTTAGAATGATTCTATTTAATTTAGTTATGTGTGTGTGTGTGTGTGTGTGTGTGTGTATGTATATATATATATATATATATATATATATAAATATTTAGAATTATTCATTTAAAATTTTTATTTATTCATCCATTTATTTTCATTTGACCAGGGAGAGACACAGAGCAAGACAGGGAAAGCGAGAAAGCAAGTTACCAGGTTCGGGTCTTGAATCGTGACCAGCTATGTGGGAGTATCCAGCACCTTAACCACCGTACCACCTGCTGGCCCTTATTATCTGTTTTTAATTGGAACAGAGAGAGACACAGAGAGAGAGAGAGGAAAAGTGAGAAAGCAAGCTACCAGGTCCAGGACTCGAACCAGGGTCAGCCATGGGTCATGCCACAATCCTATTTCTCCCATTTCTCCCTCCTTTCAGGATTTTTAGTACAGGCACATATGCACCTGTTATGTTTTTCAAGGTGCCTGATCCAGGTCATCATTATTATCTTTCAATTTGCTGCAGGGCACGTGCACTCGCCGGAGAGAGACAGAGAGATAAAGAGACAGCTACAAGGTCCAGGAATCAAACCATGGTTGGTTATGTGGGTGTCCAGCATCCCAACCACCATGCCACTTGTCGGCCCCACACATTTTTTTATTGGTTAAAAAAAAGGATCATAGGGGACCAGCAGGTGGTATGGTGGTTAAGGTGCTGGACACTCCCACATGGGTGACCATGGTTCGAGTCCTGGGCCTGGTGGCTTGCTTTCTCACCTTCCCTGTGTCTCTCTCTCTCTGATCAAATTAAAATAAATGAATGAATAAATAAAATAAATAAAGTTAAATAATTCTTAAAAAAATAAAAAGGATCATACTGTGTAGACTGTCCTGTACCTTTCCTTTTTCCTTTCAATTATATTTTGCAAATTGGCACATCCAGAGCTGCCTCATTCTTTTGGTGCCTGTAATTTGCCACAGGGTGTGTGCGCTCACTGGAGAGAGACAGAGAGTAAGAAAGCACCCCTGATGGGGCTTTGTCATACTGCAGTCTCGTCTCCATTTCACCCTCCTTTTGGGTCTCTGGGCATGCTCACACCCATGCTTAGTGTGTTTTTCAGGCAGCCAGGTCCATGACTCGGACCGCGTGGCTGGCCACTTGGGAACTCAGCTCCTTAACCACCACGTGCCACTGGCTGCCCTACCACATTCTTTTTGAAGGCTGCACAGTGTTCCATTATGTGGATTATTTCACTCAACATGTTTTTATTCAGTGCCCAACAATAAACAGTGACAGGCACTTTTCTGGGATTTTAAGGTACAGCAGCGTACAACATGAGCCAAGCTGGGCCAGCAAATGGTGTAGTGGTTACATCGCTGGACTCCCACATGGCTGACTATGGTTCGAGTCCTGGACCCGGTGGCATAAAAATCATGCTGGGTGCATATGCATGCATGCTTAAGACCCCTGGAGGAGAAAGGATTGTGGCGTGGCCATCTCCCCTCGGGGACGATTTCCCACTTTCCCTCTCATTGTCTCTGTTTCTGCAGCGAGCAAAAACCTCTATGGCAAAAAAAAAAAAAAAAAACCTCTTAAAAAAAATAGAAGAAAAAAATAGTTTGAATCCCCACTTCATAATCTGTGGGGATCATCAAGCAAAACATTGGCTTTGAACTGGATGTCACCTGAGGAGCTATATACAGGGCAGTCAGGAGCTCATTGGATCAGCTTGAGAGTAGCCCTTATGGCCAAGGTTTCCTGGGGTCTTGCCTTTTTATTTCCCTGTGACTTCCTTGCTCGGTCTGATTTTGGAGACAAAAGATTTCCTCCCTTTGTTTACATGGTTGATTTCACAGGGCACAACAGCTTGTAGGATCTTTTTTATTTTGTAATTTTTCTTCCTGGAGTGGGGTTGGGGTGGAGATTTAGGTTTGGACTATAGGTTTAGGGTCCTCCCTTGATGGTGGTGGATGTCTTCTTACTCTGCAATTATTCGTCTCCTGATGGACTCAGAAGTGGAAATCGTAAAGTGCTTGCCAGGTTGTGACTCTAGGCTGCAGCCTGCAGTTCAGCGCTGAGAGGCCTGCATTGCAGGCTAGACTGTGTGTTCCCCACGTTGGGGCCGACGAGAACAAAGAAGCCCCACAGGGGAGTGTTCCCCAGGCTTCTGAGGGGAAGTTTTCACTGCCTGTCTGTATGTAACTTGGGAATTGTGGAAGCCAAACTGTTCGGTCTTCCTTGGTTACTGCATGAGAGCCCATGTCCTAGGACAGCGTGGCCCTCTAGAACTTTCAGCACTGATGGAGATAGTCTGTAGACTGTGTTGTCCAGCAGGTCAGTGGTCACTGCTGGCCTGTGTGGCTACGGAGTATTCGAAACAGTGCAACTGAGGAATGGAATTGTAAATGTTATTTCATTTTTTAAAAAAAGATCTATTTAATTTTATTATTATTGTTTAAAATTTGCTATTGGGCATGTGTGCTCACAAGAGATGGGGAAAAGTGAGAAAGCAAGCGTCTAGTTCTGGGGCTCAATCCATGATCAGCCATGTGGGAGTCCAGCACCTAACCACCACACCACCTGCTAACCCCTGTATTATTTCATTTTAACTAACCTTTAAATAATCACGTGACCAGACCACATGCATCATGTAGGTCTAGGCTGTGGCCACTGTGCTCAGCCCAACGTCAGCTCTTTCTGCCTCCCTGCTCCAAGAATCCATAGTCTTAGTCATTCTGCAGATCAGCTACCCCATCTCCAAGCGGACAAAGTCCTTTTGGTTGTCTAATTTCCACACTTGCTAGAGGAGCAGATAATTGTGTCGTACCATAAACAAAACGTTCCTTCATCCTTGGTCTCCAGTTGCTCAAGATGCACTTTTCTTTTTTAAGAGAGATTTTTGCTACAGGATGCGTGCTCTCACCGGAAGGACAGAGAAAGAGACAGAGAGAGAGAGAAAGCAAGAAATCACTCCCTAGAGGGTATGGCCACGCCACAATCCTTCTCCTCCATTCTCTTCTTGAGATCTTGGGTGTGTATGCAGTTGTGCCCAGCATGAGGTTTTTTGTTTTGTTTTGTGTTGTTTTAAAGAATTATTTATTTATTATCATTATTTTTCCACTTGACCAGAGAGAGAGAAAAAGTAAGAAAGCAAGCCACCAAGTCCAGGGCTCAAACTGTGGTCACCCATGTGGGAGTCCAGCTCCTTTAACCACCGTGCCACCTGCCGGCCTCCCAGCATGAGTTTTAAGCTGTCTGGTCCTGGACCTGAACTGTGGTTGACTACATGGGAGTCTGGTGGTGTAACCATTATACCATCTGCTGGTCCTCAGATGCACTTTTCTTCCCCAGCTGGACTGAGATCTTCATGGAGCTTATTCCTTTTGTCCTGTGTGTCACATATGTTGTGCCCAGTAGATATTTCAAAAGGGCCATTTGGTTTTTTTTTTTTTTTTTTAATTTCTATTATAGGGGACCAGCAGTTGGCTTAATGGCTATGTCGCTAGACTCCCATGTAGTCAACTGTGGTTCAAGTCCAGGACCCAGTGGTTTAAACTCACACCAGGCGTGTGTGCGTGTGTGCCCAAGATCCCGAGAAGAGAATGGAGGAGAAGGGATTGCGGCGTGGCCATTTCTCGCTTTCTATCTCTCTGTCTCTCTCTGTCTTTCTGGCAAGTGCACACGCCCTATAGCTAAAACTTCTCCAAAAATATATTTTTTTAAATAAAAAATAAATAAATAAAAATAATTTCTGTTATAAGGCAGGCACACTCCAGAGAGAGACGGAAAGTAAGAAATCACCTCTCTGTGGGGATGACCACTCCACAATCCCTTCTTCTTCATTCTCCTCTTGGAATCTTGGGCATACATGCATATGTACCCAGCATGATTTTCAGGCTGCCAGTCCAGAACTTAATCCACGCAATCAGCCATGTGAGATCCAGCTACCTTAATTAATCTGCTTCCACCAGCTGTCCTGCCATTTGCTCCTTTTTTTTTAGTGTTCATTTATTTATTTCTATTTTATTTAAGAAATTTATTTAACTTTATTTATCCATTTATTTATTTATTTTAATTTGGCCAGAGAGGGAGAGAGAGAAAGTGAAAAAGCAAGCCACCAGGTCTAGGACTCAAACCACAGTTGGCCATGTAGGAGTCCATCGCCCTTAACCACTACTCCACTTGCCAGTCCCAGTGTTCATTTATTTATTGAGAGGGGTGGGAGAGTACTTTACTCCATTGGAGTCTTCTACTGTGATTCCACCCCCAGCCTCAGCCAGCCAAGATCATCAGCGTGCACGCTCTGCTAGTGCATACAGGGAGACCTTGGGAGGTGAACCCGGGACCTCTCTTTGTGGGCCCTGCGCTGTGGAATTCTGGGCTATTGCTATGCCGGTGGCGAGCTCCTAAGTTACCCTTTTGACCAATTTTTCCCATGCCTCACAGGTGCCTTAAAGAAGAGTCTCACAGCGGAGCAGGTCCAGGCCGATTTCATCACTCTGGGTAGGTCATCGCCCAAGGACACTGAAGTCAACAGGCTCTCTGGGTTTTTATGTTCATCTCTCCTTCTGTTCCCTTACAGGTCTCAGTGAGGAGAAAGCCGCCTACTTTTCTGAAAAGGTATAATTACTCTTAATCAAGGTTAATTGGGATCACTTGCATTTATTTTTTGGAAAAAAAAAAAAAAAAAAAGAAGAAGAAGGGAAACGCCAGCTAAGACAAGCCACCAATCATTATGCATCGCTTCACTTGGTTTTGAATGAATGCCAGACATACAGCTTCTCACCTGCATTACTTAGTGCAGCTCTAATTTTATTCTCTGATTTGAATGAATATAAAGGTCATACCATTTTTGTTCCAACATGGATTAAATCTTGGAATGAAAGTAAACATTTATGTTATCTTTGGTAGCTCTGTCCCCATCCCCTAGGTATGTGCATATAGATTGAGCCCTTAGTCCTGAGTTTTTCTTTTCTTTGTTTTAAAGAATTATTTTATTTAATTTTATTTATTCACTCATTTATATTAATTTGTCCAGAGCAAGAGAGAGGGCAAGTGAGAAGGCAAGTCACCAGGTCCAGGACTCGAACTGTGGTCAGCCACGTGGGAGTGTCCAGTGCCTTACCCACCACGCCACCTGCTGGTCCCCAGTCCTGCATTTGTCCACTGTCTGTATAAATACTAAACATAGGGGCCAGCAGGTGGCATAGTGGTTAGGGCTCTGGACTCCTACACAGTCGATAGCTGTTTGAGTCCCAGACCTGGTGGCTTGCCTTCTAACTTTCCCCCTCTCTCTCTGATCAAATAAAAAAAAATAATAAATAAATAAAATTAGGGGCCAGCAGTTAGCGTAATGGCTATGTCGCTGGACTCCCACATAGTTGACTGCAGTTCAAGTCCCAGACCCAGTGGTTCAAACTCAGGCCAGGCACATGTGCATGCGTGCCCAAGATCCTGAGAGGAGAATAGAGGAGAAGGCATTGCAGCATGACCATCCCCCCTGGGGGGTGATTTCTTGCTTTCTGTCTCTCTGTCTTCCTGGCGAGCTCACACACCCTATAGCAAAAACCACTCCTAAATAAATAAATAAATAAATAAATAACTCCTTTTTTTTTTTTAAGAATTGTATTTTCTTCCTTCTTTCCTTCCTTCCTTCCTTCCTTCCTTCCTTCCTTCCTTCCTTCCTTCCTTCCTTCTGTTCTTTTAATTTGACCAGAGAGAGACAAAGCAAGAGTGAGAGTGAGAGAAAGAGAGAGAGAAAGTGAGAAAGCAAGCTGCCAGGTCCATAATTTGAACTGTGGTCAACCATGTGGGAGTCCAGAGGCCTTAACCACCATGCCACCTGCCAGCTCCTATTTAATTTTATTTATTGTTATTATTATTTTTAATTTGACCAGAGAGACAGAGAGAGAGGGAAAGTGAAAAGGCAAGCCACCAGGCCCAGGACTTAAACCACAGTTAGCATGTGGGAGTCCAGTGCCTTAATCACGCTACCTGCTGGCCCCATAAATACCTCTTTTTTTAAAAATAAATAAAACTAAACATTGCTGTGAAGGGGGCAGAATGGTAGACTTTTCCCACTGTCATGACTCTGCCTTTTTCCTTTTATTCCAGTGGAAACAGAATGCCCCCGCCCTTGCTCACCGGGCCATCGGTCAGACTCTGATGATCAACCAGCTTATAGATATGGAGTGGAAATTTGGAGGTAAGTAGTTAGAGCCAGTCCCAGGTCTTTGGGGTCATGTAGGGTTGGGTGGTAGAGGCTTTGGATAGCTTGATGGGGAAGATGTGCCCTGAGTCCTAGACCCTGTTGGGACCAGCAGTTGCGTTTTTGTGAATGCCGTCTACATTCCGCAGCTGTTTCCACGCAGGGCCCTCGGGAGGCTGAGTTCCTGCAATACAAGGGCAGGCCATCCTCACACTCAAACTCGCCCTCCGCATGTGGCCGTCCCCATGCGGGTCCAGTTGTGTTAGCACTGTGCAACCACCTGGCCCCTCTGACTTACTTGTTGGGGATCTTGTAGAGTCAAGGTCTTTAGGCCAAGTCCTCAGTCACTGGTTATTTTTCTCTTCTGTGTTACAGTGACATCTGGGAGCAGCGAACTGGAGAAAGTGGGGAGTATTTTTTTACAAGTAAGTCTTCTCTTGATGCTTTAAAATGAGTTGATTTTTAAAAATATTATTTTATTTAATTTTATTCATCATCATCATCATTAATTTTAATTAGACCAGAGAGAGAGACACACACACACACAGAGGGAAGGTGAGAAAGCAAACCACGAGTCCAGCACGTTAATCACCACGCTACCTGCCAGCCCAAAATGAGTTGATTTTTGACTTGGTTAAAAGTGATACAATCGGGACCAGCAGGTGGCGTGGTGGTTAAGGCACTGGACACTCCCACATGGCTGACCAGGGTTCAAGTCCCCAGACCTGGAGGCTTGCTTTCTCACTTTCTCTTTCTCTTTCTCTCTCTGGTCAAATTAAAAATAAACAAATGAATACATAAAATTAAATAAATAATTTTTAAAAAAGTGATACAATCAAGAGGCCTAGGGATTGTTGCAATGATTAAGGCACTAGATTTTTTTTTACTTTAAATTTATTTACATTCATTCACTATACATCATTACAGCATACAAAATGAGATTTTCCATCCAGAATACACTGTATATTGGCTCAATCAAGCACATCAACATACGTGTTATCGTCAACAAATAATTTTCCATTTCTTGTTTTCTGTATGTTTTGCTTTTTTTCCCATCCTTGATTCCCTACCTCTTACCCTCTGCCATCTCACACCCTCCTCCCACACTGTCTCTGGTGTCCATGGTTGTTTTCTATGCCTTTTCCCCCCACATGTTATTGATTTGCTAAAGATCTTAATTAATCTAAATATTTTCAATAGCAAGCGCAGCTGATATATACATATCCATGAACACAAGTCTGACTTTAGGCATAAACCTCAGTGAGTAGAATGAACATACTATAAAGTGGTACCTAACTGGGGCTATATAGCTTACTGCAGTCATCAAATA